TTAAACCTACTTAGACTGATTGAGCTGGTTGGTTGAACTAACAGTGTATCCATTTTGAAGTTGAACGAAGACGGAGATTCAACATCAACGACCGCATCAAAGAGCTGGGAACTTTGATCCCCAAGTCAAATGACCCGTGAGTACTTTCTGTTTGTGTTTATATGTGTGTGTGTGTGTGTGTTTGTCTGTCTGTTCATTAACTTTGTCATCTACTACCCCCCCCTCATGCGTCCAAGTGTGAAGGCATGATTGCTCAGAGCAGCTGTAAAGAATCCCGTGCTGTTCTGGTCAGCTGGTCAGCCAGTCAGCTGACTCTGACTGTAAGATCTTTGTCTCCTGCATACCCCAGAGACATGCGCTGGAATAAGGGCACCATTCTGAAAGCTTCGGTGGACTACATCAGAAAGCTGCAGCGGGAGCAGCAGAGAGCCAAGGAGCTGGAGTGCAGACAGAGAAAGCTGGAGCACGCAAACCGTCACCTGATGCTACGTATACAGGTGTGTTATTCTAAACAGAGGACGAGAGAAGAAAAATAGAACTTTTGTCAAAATATCAATGCATGTAAAAAGATGTGCAACAAACAAAATGAATCCAGACCCAGACACAGTGCTTCACTAATACACGTTTAAAGTTTTGGGTATTTGGATCATCTGTGCAACTACGAGAGGCCAGAGTTTAGGCCATAATTCATAATATATAATAATGCCATAATTCTTTACCAGTTATAGGTAGGGACAATTAATATTACATGGCTGTTGCTTCTACCTCTGTCCACCTGAGTAGTGAAAATTCAATAAAGAGTTTTTTTTTCTCCTTGTGATTAAGATGACCAGTACCGCTCTCATATCTGTCTATTAAACATAAGCAGCTGGTTAGCTTAGCTTAGCATAAAGACTGGAAACAGGGGGAAACAACTAGCCATGCTCTGTCCAAAAGTAAGTAACTATACCAGTTTCAGCTCACTAATAAATACAGTGTAACATGTTGGTTTGCAACATCTCTACAACAAAGTTAAATAACTCAAGAGAAAAAAAACTGAGCCTTGTACATGTTTGCAGAACTTAAGAAGAAGAAGAAACTCACACACCTCTTTTTATTTGGTGCTGTGTAAAACAAATGTGATCATAACATATTAACTGGTGAAATAAAGTGAGGATTTTTTAACCTTGGAAAGAGCCAGACCATTTGTTTCCCTCAGTCTCTATGCTAAGCTAAAGTAACTGCCGCCCGTTGCTTCACATTGACCGTATTAATGTGAGCGTGGTATCTATTTTCCCATCTATCTCTTCAAAAGAAAACTAAATGTTAAATTATTCCATTACACTTTTTTAGTCCCTATCCATTAAAAAATTATTACTGGTGCCATTCTATGCTTTAATCTGATCAGATAGGTTTATTAAATTTTTTTCCAAATGTGGCATTAGGTTTAAAAGTGTTCATATTTTGTTTGATTGTTCATTCATGAAGGAGTTGGAGATCCAGGCCCGTGCTCATGGTCTTACAGTGGTGTCATCCCCATCTGTCTGCACGTCAGAGTTATTGGCCCGAGCCATTAAACAGGAGCCCGTCCTCGGCGACTGCCCCTCGGACCTCTACCAGCACAGCTCTACTCCCGACATGTCCCCCCCAACCACACTGGACTTGAACAATGGCACCATCACCTTTGACCAGATCCCTTCAGACGGTGGGGACCCCCCCGGCCCCTATGGAAACTCCAGGACCTGTAAAATGAAGGAGTTGTTGAGGGACAGCACCCTGTCATCGATTTCCTCGAGTGATCCCCTGCTGTCCTCTATGTCCCCAGACGGCTCCAACAACACCAGCAGCCACCACAGTTCCAGCTCCAGTATGGAGGAGAAGGAGCACAGCTGTTAGCATCATCCGGTGACACTCCCTATCTGTAGCAGCCCATCAGTAAAGCACCTACATTAAATTAACTTAAAGGTATCCACATGACGGAGTGGATGAAGGAACTGAGAAGCTCATTTCATATTGATCTCATATTTTTATCGTTGTTTGCTCAATTATTGCTGAACCATTTTTATTTTAGGGTGACCTTTCATGCATTTCTCCATTGTGCACTCTATTGATACAGTCATGTGATCTCGATTCCACACAGATTGACAGCTCAGAATTACTTGACAAGCTACTGAGAAATGCCTGCTGTCAGTATAGATTGGTTACCTTGATCATTTAAGTGTTGTCTTTAACTTTTTATATTTGTCAGAGGTACATATAGTGTACCGAACTGTCCTTGGCAACTGGTATGACATCCATGTGAAAACATACTTGTATATAATATTGTGCATAAGTGCAAAATGTTCAAACTTTTTGTAGACAGAAT